CCATAACGATCACAAATAGCAATGAAGATAAAGGATCCCCTTACCTCAAACCTCTACTGCTTCGAAAATAACTTTCCGGGTTGCCGTTGACCAAAACTGAGAATGAAACAGTAGAGATACAGAATTGAATTCACTTACACCACTTTTCCCCAAAACCACGTCGCCTGAGCATTTACAAAAGGAACCCCCAGTTCACATTATCATAAGCCTTCTGAATATCGAGTTTACATAACATTCCTGGCACCCCCAAACGCAATCTAGAGTCAACGCATTCATTCGCTATAAGCACAGAATCCAAAATTTGTCGTCTTTTCACAAAAGCATTCTGACTCTTAGTTACCACTTTCCCCAGCACCTCCTTCAATCTATTCGCCAAGATCTTCGCGATAATCTTATATACCCCACTAACTAAGCTAATAGGGCAGAAATCCTTAATGTCAACTACTCCTGATTTTTTTGGAATCAACACAATAAATGTAGCATTGAAACTTCTCACGAACCTGTCGTACTCAAAAAAATAAGTAAGAACATCTATGATGTCCGATCCCAACACCTCCCAACAAGTTTTATAAAATGCGAACGAGAAGTCATCTGGTCCAGGTGCCTTATCATCATTCATACTGAAAACCACGTCCTTGATTTCATCTTCTGCAAACGATCTCTCTAACCAACTAGCATCCTCCTCCGTTATAGTAGAAAAATCCAGTCCATCTACCTTTGGTCACCAATCAAACTGTTCCCGATATAGATTTTGATAGAATCTCACCATCTGATTTCCAATATCCTGCGAATCCTCATAAGTAATCTCATCAACCTCCAACACAGTGATAAGAGTTTTTGCGCCTGTTCAAATTGGCGACCCTGTGGAAAAATTTAGTGCATTTGTCCCCCTCTTTCAACCATGCAACCCTGGATTTTTGGCGCTAGGCAATCTCCTCCATCTCCACCAGTCTCTCCAACTCTCCCCTCAACATTCCACGTCTCTCCTTCTCCTCCCCATCCAATCCTCGACCCTCCTCTCGCCTATCCAGTTCTTCTATTTCTAGAACACATTGATTTTTACGCCAATTAACATCACCCACCACCTCTTCATTCCACCTCTTCAAGGCTTTTAATTTCTGGTGCAACACATAACTGGGAGACCCCCCGAATTCATAAGATGCCCACCAATCCTGTACTCGCTCCCTAAAGCCATCTACTTTAAGCCACATCTTCTCAAATCTAAAAGACATTCTTCCACTATACCTCACATTTCCCGATAACAAAATAGGAAAATGATCAGAATACACCCTCCCCAATCTCCGCTGAGTGACCTTTGGATATTTGGCCTCCCACTCCCCACTAATCAGAAATCGATCTAATCGAGATGAGACAGGTTGATCCCGGTTAGATGACCAAGTAAAGCCTCCTCCAATTAAAGGCATGTCTACCAGCGTATTATCCCTAATAAAATCTGAGAAATCCTCCATTGCTCCTGTTAATCTCCCACCACTAGACCTCTTAGTAGGAAATCGAACCACATTGAAATCTCCGCCAATACGCGTAGGAAGGTCCCAACAAGACATCATACCAGCGAACTCATCTCACAAACCACATCTACTCTCATCAGTATTAGGCCCATAAACTCTAATAAACATCCAACGAAAACTATCGCCAATATTTCTGAACAAAAGAGAGAGAGAAAATAACCCCTCACTGACCTCTTCCATATTAAAAATCCTCGTATCCTACATGACTAACAAACCTCCTAAAGCCCCTGATGACCTGACATATTGATATCGACATGCTGTCCCCCCCCCCCATAGACTGCTCACAATAGCCCTTGAAACAACCTTCAACTTTGTTTCTTGAAAGCATACAAGGTTAGCACTCCAACCCCTTAATAGATTTCAAATACCTAATCTTTTTCCAACTTCGTTCAGCCCCCTCACATTCCAGCTGATTATTTTTGGTATCATCTTAACACTCTGCCATCCCTCCCCATCAAACCTCTCCTTGAATCGCTGCCCTTAACATCATAATTGACTAAGCATTCGAGCAGCTTGAGTTCACGATCACCTTTTCTTCTTGTCTTTCCACCTGGCGTGCCCATCCCTTGTCCCCTACTAGCCTCCAATTCCTCAAATAATTTTTTTTTATAGGTAATCAAATAATTTTATTACTTAAAAGATGATACACGAAAGGTGTACAATCACTTTAAGCCATTAAGGAAAAACATGAAATTAGGCAACCCATCTACAGGATTTCTAACCACAGCATTAAACCAAGAATACAAGGTAAAGTAAAATGTTTATCTTATCTGCTCTCTTGTCTTTGTTTGGTCTTCGAAACAACGGTTGTTCCTTTCTCTCTACACGCACCATACAATGCAGCCCGGGATAAGGTGTCATGCTAGTTTGCTATCCTTATCACGAAGTTTCCTACGCCATGCCCGTATCACGTCCTCAATACGACGAGGCATCACCCAATCCATAGATTGTGAACTTAGTATATTGTTCCAAATCCAACATACACCATCACAATGAATGAACAAATGATCGATCGTCTCCCCATCCTAATTCCTCAAATAATTTCATTAGCCTAGTTTCATATCCTTCACAGGAGACACCCATCATCTTGCTGAAATCCAGAATTTTTTGGATAACCCAGCTAGATGGAGGTGGACTAATGTCAACTGCACTAACTTCCACTATCTCCTCGGCATGGAGAGGGTCATCCTCCACGAGTACTACATCGCTATCCATATCTTCCTTTTCAACACCATCAACCCATACCACCAAAGCTTTATCATTCCCCAAGTCCCTCTCTTTATCATTCCCCAAGTGTTCACAACCATAGTTGCTGATCCTGTCGCCCCTTGCTGTTCCTCAACTCCTGTAGCTGGGCTTTCTGCCAATACAACTCCGATCTCTTGCTCCTTTGCCGACCTCAATCCCTCTACCAGCCTTGTGTTCAACGCACCTATGGTCATAGAACACTTGTCTTTAGTTGCATCCAATACCGCTAACTCCAGAGTTAACTTATTCATCTCCCCTTCCTCGGCCCAAGGTTCCACCTCCACTATTTTAGTCCACCTCAGAGATTCGCCGCTTGGCTCAACTGGCAACTCTTTATTGTGGGTCCAGTTCGATGTCAACTCATCCAAGCCCACCCCCACACTTATGATAGGTCTTCCTGGAACCCACTATATACCCATTATCCATCAACTTGATTAATTCATCGAGTTCTACTTTCAGTGATAGGATGTGGGTCATCATTTCAGCGCTATTCAAGGGACTATCAATTATGCTTCGGTAGCTATTTCCTGACCCATGCACCTTTATTTGTCCGTCCTTATCAGGTCCTAAGATTTGCTCGCGTGGATTACTCCTCTCCTTAACCGCCCTTTCCATATGCAACAATACCCGCTTATCGGCGTTCCGTGAGGCTTGTACATTTGCCGTAACTCCGACATAAGTCATCCCTTGTTGGTTCCCTTCTTCGACTGTTCGATCCTTAACCTTGTCTCCGACAACAAAAGAATTGATAACTACCTAAAACACACGCAAAATCGAGGCCCAACCCTCTCCATTCGCCCCTTCCGGCACCATCACCACCGCTCTCCGACGTCTCTCCCCAATATTGTGCTATAATCATATACCTACCACGACTATTTGCATAGTGTTGTGCCAAGAAAGCTCGAGAGGACTCATTGAACTTTGTAACGAAATCCTTCAACCTTCTAGCTAACCTCACCTTTTCCACCATATTTACCATTCAAACGGCTCCAAATCTCCCCATACAAATAGCATTTGAAATCTCCACTCCCCATTCCGATATCTTAACAATGCCTGATTCGTAGACAGACACTAAGAACTCTTTTGCCTCAATTCTAAATCAAGAATTAACCACCACACCATTTGAATGATACTAATTCCCTTGCTCTTGTGCAAACGATGCATCAGACAATAAAATCAGATGTTGGGATGTTCAAGTTGTAGCAGCAGGAATCTATAGCCTCAACGACAGTGGCGCATGATTTCCACGCACTGACACACACATGGCTAGATCGGCGCATCCCAGGCCACTGCCTGGCCGATGTCAAAAAGACCAGCATGACCGACCGAGCAGGCACGTGTGGCCGAAAAGCCGTCAAAGAATAGGTGGACGGTGGATGCTCGATTGTCTACTCATCCGGTCGATCTGGGATAATCTAGCTGTTGACGTGGATGGTGTCACCTTGGGCTCCCGTACCGATCGTCGGCACATCGTTGTCAATTCTGTAGTTCCGAGCGTCGACGCTAGGGTTGCAAGGGTGAGCCACCGCCTACAAGTAGGAGAGGCTAGGGTTTTGTGGCATGAGGCCTGTGGGGTTTCCAATCGAGGGTCCACCATTGATGCCCAGGCCAGCTGGAATTGATGGTGGCTAGGTTAGTTTGGATGTTGCGGGAAGAGTATCCATCCTTGAATTCGTAACCATATTCATCATTAGATTAGTTTAAAACCATTGATCTTATAATTCAATTTTCTAGATAAAAATAAGAGTTATTCTATTATAGTACTTAATATAAAATTAAATTACTATCCCTGTGGATTCGACACTCTAGCTCCATTATTATATTACAAAACTTGACACCATACACTTGCAATATACATCATGTTATAGAAAACGCGTGCGGCGTGACAAAGTTACTAGTCCATAAGCCTAAATCCTCATTATCATTACAAGCATAATAACACGAAGGTTGCTAAAAACAAATCCATATTCTTCATCATTGTAGGATCCATAACACCAATTCAAGCATAACTGAACAACCAAATCAATTGAATGCAAATTCTAAATACCAAATCCATATTAACTATACCCAAATGCCAACTTCAAATTATCAGGAAGCAAATGCCAATTTCCAAATCAACAATATGTAGAGGCGAAACCAAACAAGTTTCAAAACACACATAAACTAAGACAGTCTCAGCAAACAATGGCCCAGAAGTTACTAATCTGAGACCCAAATCCATATATTTCATGTCAGCAATTTAAGGTCCAAAAATCGATTAACACAAATGCGAGACTAAAATTCAATATCTTCAGGCACACAATCACCAGCCACACCAAATTGACCAAGCCGTTAAACAGTTTTCTTCACTTCAAAGTTTAGTCCAGCTACAACCTCAGAAAAGCAATTATCAACTTAAGCCCACGATCACTAAAATTACTAATTTTCTATCACCTGTATTATCTTATGGCACTAATTTTTCCTTTATTCTTTTTATCTTCGGCACCCTCCTTCCCATACAATATAAAATCTGACCAGTAGAATACTTAGGATTCAAGGCCCATTTAGTCGGGTTTTTGAAAAGTTAAAAGCTACTTTTGAGACTAAGAAGCTCTTCTGGACCTCTTTGGATAATTTTCTTAAATTGTTTTACCTAGTTAGTAGCTTTCAAAGGAAGCTGGTCCAAGACTTCCTCAAGTAGCTGTACAAGCACAAGTAAAAAGCTGCCAAAAGGGCACTTAAACCAAATCCCTAAGCAAGCACTATTTAACTAATCTTCCATAACCACGAACCACTATAAAAATCCATTCTGCCATCATACATTGCGTAACTGATGTGAAATAAATAACTGAAGCCATATGTTTCTATAAAAGACTTCACTGGAAGAAAGGAGATGAATCGGGAGCCCTACAAAACTGTCTTGATTTTTTCATTGGCCAGTGACAATTAGCAGAACCTTGAACAAAGATCATTTGACCACAAACTGTAATTCCAACCATAGGACTGGATCTTCACTTTAGCAGTAGCCAGTGTAGGCAATACCATCAAACCGCAAAGCAAACAATTAAGGCTTAAATGCCACCAACAGTAAAGCTCTCTGTCACTAAATCAAAAGTCCCAAACAGGATTTAAAACCAAATCAATCAAAGTGGCCAAAGAACAAATTGAAAGACCAGAACCAGTAATTGCTAACTTAAAACAAAATCAATCCAAAAGACCCTGCAAAAATCAAACATATAACATCCAGGGTAACTAGCAAAAGTTGCCAGCAGCAGCACATCTGAACGGCTAAAACCCAGCAATCAGAGCAAAAGGTGGCACAATCACAAGCAAAGGTTGAAAGAGGACAGAGCCCTTTACAGAAACCACTAAGATAGCACGATGATTTGATGGCAAAACCACCAATTCAAAACATCCAAAAGTCACAATCAGAAAATAACCAATGCTAGACGACTCCAAAGTGACCAATAAACAGAAAAACTCCTACATTAGAACGCTGCAGGCCAATCGAGGAACTAGTTAATAAAGAGAATAAGAGGAAGTCATCCGCCACCACGAGATTTGACTAAAACAAATACTAGGGGAGAAAAAAGGTCAAAAACAAAAAGAACCAAGAGAATATAATGCAAAACAACTTGCACCAACAAGGATCTGAAAGAAACCAAAAATAATAATAATTAATTAATTGAACGGATGAGTGGCACAGCCGCTCGCCAGAGAACCAAAGTGATTATACGTTTAATCAATGATCAATTAAAATTGTGTGCATATACACACACAGAGAAACAATTTTGAACCAAAAGAATGTAGTATGCACATTTCGTCAGATCAAAAGTTCCTGCAGGTAGATAAAAAGGTGTAGACCTTTTAAAAGCATAACCACACTGAACTAGTTATATAGCTCTATGCATAATCATTCATGGGGAAGGCCTTAAGTTTATATTCTCAAATCTTCTCAATACAGCTAACTACTCTTGTTACAGAAAACCTTTTAGTCTCATTAAAAAAAAAAAAATTGAAAAAGGATACAACTTACCCTTGTTCCTGAGGCATAATCTTCTGCTGCGCGAAGGAGTTCCACAAGTTGTACAGCAGCATCAAGTGCATCAGGAGCCCAGGATGGTGGAGCTTCTAGAAGTCCAAGGAGCAGCCTTTGAGTGGCACTTGGACTAGCAATCGAGTAATACCTGAGTAAAAGCAATAGATTAACATGGTGTTGAGCCAGTGATGCTTCTAAAATGTTGTTAACCACCTTATCTAAAAGCCTAAGCAGTTAGATAGGGGCCTCATTTCAATCTTGTATTCAATGCACCCCTCTCACGTGTAGAATGAATTCATTTTTCATCAATGGTTTGACACACACAATTTTCATATATGGATAATGGCAAGACCTGAATCTAGGTATTTTGTCTGTCTTAGATGGTAACTCCCCCATCTTTATGCTTAAGCTTCTAG